TGGTTATATTATATAAGCATAACATATTCAAATATTAATAAACTGGTAAATAAATGTTAATATATATATATATATATATATATATATATATATATATTAATGATGTTAATGTAATTAATACATTTAATACACTGTTAATGTAAATATATCAATATATAAATATATACTATTCAAAAGTAGAAAAGTAGAAAGTATTTGTTTTGTTGAAAAATAACATAAAAATGATAAAAAAAGAAGCATATATTCCGCATAATAGAAATAGAAATAAAATATTGAGCCCTACAAAAATGACAACATACTAACTTGGTTGTATCGATGTTGAATTGAAATGAAAATATATATAAACGGACAGTGGATAAAGCGGGAAACCACGGAACAGTTAGCCACACACACACACGCACACACACACACGGACACACACATACACACACACACACACACACACATACACACACACATACACACGGACACACACATACACACACAGTTACAAAATCATTTACTACATATTGACACAAAAACACACATTCACTCTTACACACATATACTTACACATTAAGACGAAATAACACACACTCACACTCATACACACTCATTCATACACACCTGAGATCAGTGTTAAATGTTGTCAGTTATATATACATATATAACGTAAGATAAAAAGTATAAAATCATTTAATGCTTATTGGATGACACTAAAAATAAGATTTGTTGGAAGCACACTTATTGAAAATTTTACTAAAAGCTATAGTTTTTTATTATCCAAATGAAGCTAAAAATACGTCGAAGTATAAATTAATAAATAAGTAAATAAATAAATAAATAAATATATATATATATATATATATATATATAAATGATATACATAGAATTTTATTTGTATGTTTGTTGACAATTTCCTTGTGAAAAGATAGAGAAATAGTTAATTTACAGAATTTCGCATTGCTATCATACTTGGCATAGCTCGTTCAACAAAGGCACATAGGTGATTGATAATCAGCAGTAACACATGGTCTTGCATCATATACAACAGGCTGCATTGCATTTAAGATCGCATTGTAATGAGCACATGACATTCACATTACATTACGTCGTTATTGACATGAAAAACACACAAGCGTTTTGCTACAGTGAATGAATAAGCGATGAACAAGCGTCAATAAATTTAGCAGTTAAATTAAATTAATTAATTTAATTAAAACAGAACAATGTTCTTTTTTGTTCGCGAATGAATTAAAACCATTTTAATTGAACATTTAATAAAATTCGAAACAAATGTGTGTTTATTGAAGAAAGGTAATATGAAATTTTTATAAAAAAATTTAATAAAATGATTGAACGAACGATTATTTACACAAATAGTTTAACATACAACAATGAATTACACATGCGAATAAATAAAGCAATCAAATTAATTAAAAATATATGATTTCATGAATAAATAAATAAAAGTATTACTGAATAATTTTTAATTTTTGGTTCACAAATAAATGAATAAATTTAAAAAATAAATAATTAAACAAATGAATAAGAAAATAAATATTAATAAACATGTATTTATGAAAAATAAGAAGAAGCAGACGCAAATAGAAATATACACCAACACCGTATATCAATTTTTTAATTTTCAAATGTAAAAACTCTAAACTAAACAATCGTCCGTTGATTTGGTGTTTCTAAGTCGTTACATTGCAATTTAATTTCACTTTACACGTACAAGTTCATTTCAGTTTATGACCAGTTCGGACAAGCCTGCAAGACTTGAAATTGCTGGCTTCTCATTTTGACTTCTCATTTGTCACCTTTTAAACACGTTAAAAGAAGCGACAATAGAAAGAACGGCAGATGTTTTTAGAGAGATAAAATACAAATTTATTTGTATCATCCAATAAGAAGCTATCTTTAACTATCAGTTTATAAAAACTTATGAAAATAGCGATCGTTTTAATAAAGATAATTCCACAGCTATAACTTTGTATACGTCTTCCTTACTTTCTTACGATGTACGCTGTTGAGTTAAGATGTTAAGTTATGGCTCGATGTGGCGAAGAAATAATTGTTTGGTGCTGGTCGAGGCCGTGTCAGGCTGGGTCGATTGTTATCCAAGTTTGAAACCTCTATCTGTCTTTGGTAGTCTCACTCAGACTGATTCAAATTTAATTAATTGAATGAAAAAATCAATGAATGACCCGACAAATATAAGCTTTGAAAATTTTAACACCAAAGTTAAACGTATTAATATACAGTCTAATATTTATACAATATACAATTATACATCTCATATATATATATATATATATATATATATATATATATATGATATATATATATATATTTATACATATTATATATATATATAATGATATCAATACAGAAATCAATGATATATATATATATATATATATATATATATATCTGTATGTGTACTGTGTATGTGTGTGTTTTTGTGTTTGTGTTTGTGTGCGTATAGAAACGTAGATGTGCCAAGTAAGGATTGAAATGTTATGAATGTTGAAGTGATGATGAATGATTGGTGAGCATGAACGTTCCATCAACACGAACATTCCACATCCATTCATGCTATTCATTCTACGATATCTGATATGCTTCAATCACTACTACACATAACAGCGGACTGAACACGCAAGTCTTACTTATTTAAATGTCTTGTATAAATATTTCGATTAACAAACTGCATTCTGACGCTAACATTTTTTAACATGATCCATGTATATAATATATATATTTACTTGTATACATGTGTATGTGTGTGTATGTATGTGTGTATGTAAGTGTTGTGTGTGTGTGTTTGTATTTATTTTTTATATAAGCACAAATAATAAATGCATGTATTTATTTGCGCAGTTACAAATGTAGAATTTTTCTTGTGTCAACTGCTTAAGTGAGACAAAACTTTCCCATTTTATCTTTTGTCAGACATCAAAACAACGTTCTTACTTCTTATGCAAATGTTTTAAAAGATTTTGTTTGAGAAAAAAGGGGAAAGATAGTTGAGCAAGCAGTTGAACGACAGAGCATGCAATGCTACATCTGTTTCATTGTTTGCTATTTTGAATGCTCGTGATAATGGATGAACCGTCAAAAATTGACGCGCGATTTCAGATGATTATCACAATTAATTAATTAGTTAATTAATTATTCAAATTCATTTTTGAACAAACAAAAGTATACAATTTATTTAAACACCTCCCAAAACAAGATACTGATCTACGTATAATAAATCGATTGAAACATGAAATAACATAAATAGTTTGAACAATAGAAATGATATTGTGTCTGTACATGTGTGTATGTGCATAAATGATTGTCATGAAATTTGATAAAAAATGAAATTTTCATTTTTTAGCCGCTAAATTTAAACACAAATTAGGAAATATGAGATCGAATAAGTTCTTAATCAACTTTGTATTTACGTATTGAATGAATGAGGGTATGGTTGAAAGTTTCAGTAAAAATTTTGAAACATAAATTCTGACGATAACATTTAAAGAAATCATTTGCATACCAAATAAATATGAATGAAAAAAAAACATAAAAAAGAAGATTGTGTTAACACATGCAACGTAGCTTGGAATGATGACAACTTAGTTACTCATGGTGGTGGCTTAATAAGGCATTATTGTAAGAAACACCATACATCAAATGGTAAAATATAAATAAGATATCAAACCATTAAAACATAGAATAAATTTTTCAATTCGATTTTAGATCTAAAACTTAAACGAAACAAAATTAACTCTGTAAAAATAATTTAACATTTTGACCTGTTTTAAAATAACTCTTTTAAACATTAAACCAATGACAACAAAAAAAATAACTTGAAAAAACCTCGACGTAGTAGCGACAATAGCAGTACCAAATCGGCACTAACTAATGTGCGTAAATGCACAACGTGAATCTTGCTCACCGACTTGCCGACTGTTGAACTCGAGACTGCACGTACTGGTGGCACGATGTTTCTGTGGAGAGGTGTTCGCGGAAGATATCACCTCGTTGTACTGGTAGTAATTATGGCTGAAATTATCTCCAACATTACACGTGTAATTGTCGAGAATGTAACTGTTGTTGTTGACGTTGTTGTTGCTGAGGATGTTGACGCTGTCGTTGTGATATTTTGTGGTTTTCAATTTGTCAGCTGATTTTAGAATAAGATCTAACCGGCAATCAAAAACTTCGTCACAATGATAGCTCGAACGTATGTCGTTCGTCAGTTGCGGTTTATTTATTGTGATTGTTTCGTCAAGGGGGGTATCATCCCTCAAGGACTCCAACTTTGTGAGGGAAGACAAGGATGAAGAAGATGGCGAGGGAGTGAGAAATAATGATTGGAAGCTTTGCGAGGAGGACAAGGAGGAACGTGGTGATGACCGTGTTAGGAAAGATGGAGTCGGTGAAAGGGATGGCGACAGCGGCAAACGAGTCGTTGCGTGAAATGGCGAATATGACACAATGGATGTGTTGTTTGGAGACACGCATGTCGGAGATGGTGCTGAAGAGTTTGAAGATGACGATAAGTAAGAGGCTGTAGGTAACTGTGGTAAGGACGCTAATGACGATGACTGCGTTGGTTGCAGAAATGTTAACGATATTGTGGTGGTCGTTGTGATTGGTGACAGCGATGAAAATATGGACATGGACACCGCTGGTGCTAACGGTTGTGACGAATCTGATGACTTTAATGGAAGTGATGCTAACATCGTAAACGTTGAAGTTGTTAAAGTCAAAGTGTAAGAATTTTTGGGATGCAACAGAGATGCGAATGATGAAGACGGAAAAAATTCTGGCAGCACATTTTGTGGAAACATTGCTGAAGATGTTGACGTTGGCTGATATATTTCCACTTGATCAGATTCAATCTGGAAAGTTTTTGTTCCTTGCAATGCATTATTTTCAAATTGACTTTTTTCAGTTTGACTGTTTGCCAACGCTTGTTTTTCTTCATGTACTTTTCTTAGTTCATCTAAGACATCATCAGTTTCATCGTGAACAAAATTGCAGCGCGGTCCATATGGACAAAACCCAGTACTATGAAAAGTTTTACATTTGTCAGTTTTGTACTTTGGATGGCGATCAATCTGCCTCAATTCATCCAGGCCATGGGCGTACTGACACTTATTGCCGTATCTACACCTGCCCTGCTCTCTGAAGGGTCGACAGAGCTCCGTTTTGTAACGTTCTCCGTGAGCAATCCTCTCCAATAAAGCACTAGGAATGTTGCCTTGGTTGTCGTTGTTGTTGTTCGTTTGGCCGTTGGCTTTATTTGTGCGGTTTTCCATGCTGTGATTGCTGTTGTTGTTGTTGTTGTTGCCATTGTTGTTGTTGCTGCTGTTGTTGTTGCTGCTGCTGTTGTTGTTATTCTGGTTCATTTTTCTGACTTTATTTTTCTGATTGCTTCTGTAAACGGAAATTTGTGAAGAAACAGAAGTCGATGGGGCGTTAGAAATATTATTTTCATATTTGTTGTTGCAATTATTATTGACAAAATTGTTTGTTGTCATGTTGTGAATGTTGAAATTGATAGCTTTAGGACAGTTGTTGTCAGTTCCGCTGGAGTCCCCGACAGCCGCACTGCCAGGCCAGGCTGCAGAAGAAGCAAGGCAACTTGGCTTGATGTTACCGGTGTTACATACGTTGTAGATGTTTGTCAACGTCTGCGATCCAGCTGTCACTAGGTAGTCTACATTGGGTACTTGATTGTAGACTGAAGAAACAATATAATTCAGCCTGTTGTTGGGGTTTACAAATGAATATGACGTGTTGATGTTTGAAGGGGACCACTGGTACAAATTCTCGTTTAAATATGGTTTCAAATAATTCAACAGGGCAACATCGATTTGGTTGAAAGGTGACGCCGGTGAATATGCAGACGACAACGAGCGTACCTTTCCATCCACAAATCGCGCGTCATGATGACTTGGGTCGAAACCACTGAACTCGCTGGAAACCATTTTATTTCTTTCAAACCTTTTAACATTAAATAAAAAATTAAATCAAATAAAACCTAAAATATTTCTGCCTGTATATACCTTAAAATTTAAAAACAACATAAATAGTTTAAATTATGGTGATGTTGAACATTTTTTAATTTTTATTATTTGTGTAAAGTATAAAAGCAGATATAAAAAATAAAATAATGCAAAAATAAAAAATGAAAAAATATTACATAACGACAAATTCAAAAATTTGAATTAACCTATCGACGAGAAAGTTTCCACAAGAATATATATTTAAAATAATTGCCTCCAATTTTTGAAAAAATTTTTGATTTGTTTACTTCGAGCTAGCTCTCAACTACCACACAATGTTTTTTGAATGAAGACTGCATCTATTTATATTCTTCATTGCCGTTATATGCTCATACACTTGTGTACAATACGTATTTGTATAGGTTCATTTGCCATATTTCTCAATAATGTATAAGCATACATTGAGAAGCACACGCACATGCACGCATATAAAATTTATAACTTTTACATAACTTATGATTCGAATTTCTCATAAATACTTGTTTTTCAGTCATGAAACCCCCTAAATTTTAATTTATAAATATATATATATATATATATATATATATATATAGTGTTTTAGAGAGAAAGAGAGAGGAAAAAGAGATGGAGAGAGATTTGTGGTTTAATGAAAACTCATGACATAATATGAGTAATGCATCGTAAATGAAACTCATTACACACACACACACACACATACACACACATACACACACACACACACACACATACACACACACACACTTTTGATTGTTCAATATACATGCAAAGACGCATTGGAAAAATGTACGTTCCAAACTGCCGACCAAAAATAGGACATAAACTCAAAGTGACGGGCAGACAGACAGACAAACAGATGAAGAGACATAAAGACGTAGAAATCTCTGATCTGACCAGAAGACTATGGTCAACTTGTCATACGTCCAAGCAAGCAGCGAGATGTGACGTGCCTGTTATGATAGTGATCTTAATTAGCTCGTTAATGAGGCCGAGATCACCTGCCATCTACATTTGAAATTGGTGGAGGTGCAGGAGGGTTACCTGAATAACTGACCCGACCTGTTTTTCAAAAATATATACCAAATTTAACTTAATAAATTAATATATATATATATATATATATATATATATATATATATAATAAACCATAATTTTTACAATATTCTATAATATTGTATGTGTATATATATATATATATATATATATATAATCCGATTTTTTTTTATTTTAGCGTTATGTAAATGTATCAATTATATATATATATTTATATATATATATAAATATATATATATATAATATATATATATATATTACTAGCTTTTAGTATTTTATTAACCATTTAGGCACGAGTTAATAACCATATATACATACACAAACACCTACACTAAATTGAAAGGTTAGAACAACAGTTTCTTTATTTTGTGTAAGTGTTGCGGTAAAATTAGGCTTTAATAGGACTTCATTGACACGCTGTGAATGTGCGAATGAGTGTTTAACTGCGCGTTTCCTATCTGTGATTTTGGGAATGTTGTCAGAAGGAATTCTGATTGGCTAAAAATTTGGCTGGTCAAATGTTGGTTGGCTGGTTGAATAGTAGGTTGGTTGAATGGCTGGTCAGAATATTAGTTGGACGGATGGCTGAATGGTTGGTTTGGTGTTTGGTTGGTTGATAGATCAAGTGGTAGGCTGGATGGTTGGTTGGATTAATTTTTAGTTGAATTATTGTTCAATATGCTGGTTGGATGGTTAGTTGATTAAATGTTTGGTTAAAATGTTGGTTAGGTGATTGGTTGAATGGTTGGTTGATGAATGATTGGTCAAAAGATTGAGAAAATGGTTAGTTAGTTGAATGATTTATCAAAATGTTGATTGGCTGAATGGTTGGTTGTATGATTGGTTAAAATGTTGATAAGATGGTTGGTTGGATGGCTGGCTAGTTGATTGATTAGTAACTGCCTCTTGCGTGTATTCAAGAATTATTGTAAAACATTTAAATGAATGAATCGAATCACGTGATTCTCTGCAAAACATATCGATGAACGAATTAAAAGCACGCGCGTCAAGATGAAACAAAATTTAAAACGTGCAGTTCCCGGCAAGTAATGATAATATATATTTACAGTTTGAAAGAGAATTTAATTTTAAGACCTAAACCCAAAAGAACAATTATTTTTGGTAATGTAGGTATTTGTTTACTTTTACTATGAAATGTTAACTCAATTCAACTTAAAATTTATAAAAACAAGCAACACACAAACATTTGGTCATCAGATGTTCATTCTGCAATCATCCATCTACATTTTCAATCATATGGTCATCATTTATTCATCAAATTTTTCCATCATATGATTGAACAAATAGATGCATGGATGAATTGTTGAGAGTTTTGGATGATTGAACCAGCTTTTATCTCAACATTTTTTCTGACCAAGCTCGTTATAATTTTGAATAAAAGTCGTTTGTTTTTGGAGGCAAGTTATTTCATAACAAGCTGTTATTCATTTCACGTTACTCATTAATGTTTATAGCAATTTAAATTTATAGTTTTATATTAAATAAAGATAATACTTGAAAGTTTTAAATGTGCGCCGATGACAACGAAGCGCACCATCGAAATCTTTGTAAATATTGCCATGAACGTTACTGTGAATAAAAGTTGTTCATTATGAAAAATCACGTAAATTTCAACCAAAAATCAACTCGTCGAAACTTTTGGGAGGACCATCAAAGAATTTAAAATTTTACTTATAAAAATGTGTCATAAACATATAAACGTGAATCGTTCAATCGTTTTGTTTTCTGTTATAAGCAGCTTTGTTAAGACTTCAAATGGTAGCTGTAGCACGCAAGCGTGAATGTGTTGAACATTCATAAAAAAATAATCAGCCGGCTTTTTGAAATTCTCGTGTGCAGTTGAACTGTCGTGTCGCGGAGAAAAGCTATTTTAATCTATCGTTGTACACGCGGTACGACTGTAGACCCAGCAGCTGACTATAAATTTATAAAAACTTTTTTGAAACCTCAGTTGCAACTTTTGTGAAAGGGAGATGATTCATCAGTCTTGTGTGAACGTGCAGTAAGAACTTTTTTTTACAAATTTTGACGATGGTTAAAATTGAAATTTTAAAAACCTGTCATTGACGTGATTAATGAAAAATTGAAAAATAACCATATTTTTGATGAAATGTTTGGACAACAAAAAAAAACATTTGCATTTAATCTCAATTTCTCTCAAATGATATAAACTATATAAATAATAAAAATTAATCAATTTCTAAATGAAAATAATCATCACCACGCTGGCTGAAACAGCATGCGATGAACGCTTGTGATGATCCACTAATTACCTGCAGTAAGTACACACCAACCAGACCCCGGTCATTTCACTAGTGCCAAACACCTGATTTGAATCACGTACCTATCTGATCAATAGTTTTATAATTTCGATCTTTAAGTTTTTTTGATCTTCTGATCAACAGATTTTGTTATGACTAAATTAAATTAGATTTGACTTCATTTTGTTATGGAGTCAAACAGATTAATTAAAAATTAAAGGGGCAAATAAAAATAATCGCCAGCCTGAAGCAAAAAGTTGAACATAATTTAAAAAAACTTTAAATGCGAATCTACATAATGATAATATAATACATGATGACGAGATTAATAATTATCTTAATCTACAAATTCAAAGCAGAAATTTAAAAATGTAAGTTCAAGGTCAAGTTCAAGGTTACAAGATGAATCAAATCCCTCTATCTCCACATCTTACTGCGTTGAGTTGGTTCTGACGGACAGACAAAGTGCCATGTAACCCTAAGACAGTCATATTTCATTCATTTATCTGTTTTCAGGTTGCTTTCATGGAATAACAAACATTTAAAAAGGAAGACACAGTAATACTGAGAGTAATGAAATATTGATTAAGATTTCAAATTTTCAATTATTTCAAATTTTTAAAATTAAATTTATAATTTTTGCAAAAAGAAAACAACACATCAACAAACACACATGTTGCAAATACAACAACAATAACGCACACACACACAAATAAACACATTTGAAGACACACATACATGCAAATCAAAAATTCACACATAAATAAACATGCATCAGGTGCATGTTTATGTGATAATGTTTATTTGATTTATGTGCATTGCACCTACAGAAAT